GTTTAAGTATATAGCCTATACATCCTTAAGGACGCATGCACGATTTACGGATGCTTTTCCACTCGGCACAATCTTTTGATACTTTTCATTTTTTCCGTAATCTGATCATCTCGTTGCAAAACAATCGCGGGGTTCCCTCCCAACGTGAAACGAGTGAGTTTCATGTCATGCACAACGAGCAAATTTCATGCTCTGTTTCGTTCGGACAGTTTATACGCCGTGAAACAATTTCGAACAGCTTGGAAAAAAGAAAGAAATCAGCTTTCGATCGATTAAAAGGCGGTGATCGAAACGTCGTGTGAACTGAAATCGAAGAACGACGTTACGCGAAATCGGGCGAAAGCGCGTGAGAATGAGAAAGATTGTGAACCGAACAGAACATGAATAAATGGACAAGAAAAAAGAAAACATAAGTAAGAAATGAATGAATCGTTCATTTGGAGAATGAACTGACGTTACCTTGGCAGTCGTCTCTGTAGTGTTGAGATTTTGGTGGCGGCGGAGGTGCGTTCGAGTATTCTATGGATGAGCCGAAAAAAAAGAAACGGAAATAATAATTAGCCGCACTACGATTATCATGAAAGACGATAATCACTCAGCATTGTGGATTCACTGTGAAACTAATGTTCAACGCTGTGTTTTGTGCGCCGATTGAACGCACTCTTCCTCGACGTCTGATCGATATTGGTGTCCCGTTAACGAGCCACTATTCCAACGTTGCGTTTCGAGTTTAAAGAAAACAAGTTAATCGACGATGAATTTATATTTTGAAAACAATTCGATTACAATGTAAATTCACTTTGTCTTTTAAACGGTGTTTAACATCGATCGCACTTTCAACTTCAAATCTTGAAACTGATAATATCTAATAAGCTGTGTTAAATTATTTGAATACTGTCTACGTAAAGATGAAGCGTTTCTCAAGTGAAATCTCATTTAAACAAGCAAAGAGATACATAAACACTTTTGCCAGGAGATTCTGATATCTAACATAGTAAACGTTTACTCGATCGATTTTCTGATAAAACGACGAGTTTTAGAACCGGTAGATCCGATGGGAAACAATTTTAACATTTATTGGAATTCAGACCTTCGAACGTGACGGTAGGTCGAGCGGTGTAGACCGGAAGCGGCGACCACCAAGATGTATTTTTTCGTCGCGCGATCGGAGAAGTCGGTGGAGGAGGAGGCTGATACCTGAACCTCGGCCTGTGCTTATCAGGATCGAACGGTTGATTGCCAAAAATCTCCGATTGTTTCAAAATCGACGACAATCCCTTAGACGAACTCGTGCCCCGTACTCTGCCCATGATTCTCTTCCCGTCACCGATCTTCTTTAAATCAGAACTCTCATCCTTTTTTGTCGCGGATTGTCTTCCGCCGAGGTCAGGCGGCGACGACAGCGAACGCATGTTATCGCGCCGGCTAGGGAATCTGTGCGCCACCCACTGGCCGGCCAGATAAGGCGCAATGTCCCTTAACTCATGGACATCCGGCGAGGAGGTGAACATCTCGCCCAGAATCGAAGTTTTCCGGCTGGCGAAACTTTCAAACTTCTTCCTCATCCGCTCGACTGGCTTCTTCGCTTCCAACTCCTTGGTCTCTGCTTTCCTGGCCACTGCATTTGTCACGGTCGATGGCGCGGTAGCGGACGCGTCTTTTAATTCTACCGTCTTGCTGATTACGTCGATGTGCGGCATGGACAGGTCCTCCCGTCTGAGAGGAACGCGCGGAATCGGCGGCGAGCCTCCTCTGCGCCGAGCTCTACCTCGTCGAGGCTCGTATTTTCGCCGAAGCCAAGCCACGTCCGCAAATTCGTGAGGCTTTAGTTTCCCCTCATCCACTTTCTTCAATAAGCTCCGCGTTAATTCCGGGTCGCTACGGAATCTTTTCGGCGTCACTTTAACTTTTTCTCTGCGAAGATCCTCCGCGCTTTCGAACCTGTCCCTGAGCCGCTTCACCGTGCCGTTCTTCACGAGCTTCAAGTAAGCTCGCCAGTACCTCTCCGGATCGGGCGACGAGCTTCGCAGCCATACACTGTCCAGACTGCAGGATGAGCTCGATCGAGTAGTTGCGCGACACGGACTAACGCTGCGCGGTCTGTCGTGTTCACGGTCGCGCGAACACCAATAGTGAAAAGAGTGTCGCGTGCCAGTTTCCGGTTCGCGACCGGGGCTGCTTTCCTTCCGGCTGCTACCAGCCGCGCCTCGCACCGGCGAACTCGACCGTGTCCTGCACCCTGACAAAGGCACAGTCGCGTACTTTGCGAACCTCGTTTCGCCGAACAATTCCCTTAGGTCAGCGAAGCTCTGCGCAGACGATAGTCGAACGGATTTCAATCTCTTTCGATCTGTTTCTTCTTTCGGTTTAGTCTGCATTTTATCTTCTTTTCGGTCTTCATTTTTTATCTTCTCGAAGAACTCGATTTTTGTTGGGACATCCCGAGACTCCATGGTTCGTTGAATAACAGTTTTCACGGACGTTTCAGAACTTTCCGTCGTGCTGTCCTTTTCGCTGCTTGAATTAATAGCTGTAGTCTTAGATTGGATACTTGCGTCTGGCACTGCGATTGCCAGAAGCGGTGGTTTCTTCGACCATTTCTCCAAAACGGTCTCTACACGCTGTCTGTCATTCGGACTGTTGCTCTCTGGCGTTAGAACCAACAAAAAATCGCTTCTCTCGTTGCTCTTCGACATACTCTCACACGGTGCTTCTACGGAAGAAGCTATAGGCGAAGCACTCGTTACGTCGGGAGCAGTCGAGGACCGAGTAACTTTCGGGATTTTCTTCGCTGCGAGTGCTGCTGCGATACTACCACGTGTTTCGCGAGGAGTGAGTGGCATCGATAGCCTCCTCCGCGATACCTTATCCAAAACTTCTTTTCCAAGGGTAACAGAAAGCCTCTTCTTCTCTAGTTCACTCATCGATAATGGTATCGGTTTTTTAACCGATTCGGTTTTTCCTCGACTGATCGAGTCGCTCCTTTTCAACGGTGATTCCGAACGATCGTTAAACGATTTTCCCTCCCCTCCAGTCGCCACCGATGAGATCATTGAATGACACCTTACATGAAGCCCTTTCCCATCGTCTCGAGTGCCACTGGTCGAATCGGTTTCAGGCGGAACTACGATTTCATATTTCGTCAAATTATCACGTTGGCCTGTCTCTGTTACCCTTCGTAATGGACCATCGGTGATTTCCGTATTTTGTTTTGAGGCGATGGTGGATCTTTGTAAATTGTCACTACCGTAAATCTCGTTCAACTGTTTCTTCAAAGTGGCCACTTGCTCTATAGACAAGCTGCTCCAGAATTTTTTGCTGCCGCCAAGGTTCCTTTGCAACGAAGGATGATCCCATTGATCCAGCCTCTCCTTCTCAGTAGTATCACTCGCCCTCTTCTGCATCGTGGTCGCGACGTTTATCACGGACGCGCCCCGCCAAAGCGGTTTATACGTATCCTTCCTCGACGATATTTCCCTCCTCCTAGACGATTCCAGCTCGCTCTCCTCGGTCTGCAGCTTCTTAAAGTGTCGAATAATGTTCTCCACGGAGCGCTCTTTGCACCTCAAGCCGCAATCGCCGTGCCACTTGAATTTGCTGATATCCTTCGTGCTGAACAGAAAATCCTTATCTTTCTGCACCGCCCTCAGCTTCCCATACAGCGCGTTGAACTCCTGCTCGGCCTTCTCCTGCAGCCTCACTCGTTTCCATCTCTCGTAATCGATGATCTCTTCGTTCTTTAATCTCGGTCGCAAGTCGCTCGAAGAGAACGTTCTTTCTAATTCGCCCAATCTCTCCAGACTCGAATAGAAATCGTATAACTCTTTGTACCTGTCCGATCTCTTCCTGTCGTGTATCTTTTCCAACACGTAGCGATGATACTCCTCGCGGTTGGCTGGCCACGCACACAAGGAATTCGTGCTTCTTGTTAATGACGAGATCGACTCGAACTTCGATCTGATACCGTGCAATCCTTCAGCTTGGCCAGCGCTTCTAGCTCTGATCTTTCTCACTATTGCGCGGGGTGAATCCGACTTCTCCTGTCTCAAACTACGAATGCGTCGGCAAGCCGGTGACCTGACGGGCGATGGGGAAGAAGTACGCGACGACGAATGCATAGAGTCCGAACACTCGGACAAAGTTTTAAGAGGCGGCTCGCTGGAGCTTCTCTCCTTCGGGCGAATTTTCATAGAATCCGGACTACGATCTCGTAAAGTGGTCGACGATCCAAAGTCCTCGATGCCCAAAAGACTGTCGAATTTGCTGACTTTTTGGAATACGGACCTCCCTGGCCAAGTGACGCGGCCGTAAGGGCTGCTACTTCTAGATGAGACGCTCTCCCGTTCCCAATTTTTGAATCTCGAGTTCGACACTGGTCGCTTACTCGCTAGGTAGATGCTGAGCGATTTCAGAGACGGTTCCGATCTACTGCTCTCTCTTATGTTCTCTTGGTACATTCTGGTTCGCTCGCTGATCAGAGACTTCCTCGAAGGGACGTTCTCGCTGGAGACACTCGAGGACATGGATCTCAGAAAGAGATTTTGGAAGAACGTGTCCGAACGCGTTGTTTCATGGTGCCTCTTAATTTGTTCAATGGTCAACTCCGATTTGGATTGTTTGTCCGAATTAGCAGTTTTCTGTCTAACGTTGGGTTCCTCGTTTTCAATATTACTCCTCTTATCGGACCGTGTCATTTGCCCATTGGTCAATCGTCTCATTTCAGATATATTTTTGTCTTTCTTCAACTGCTTCTTAGTTTCGAATTTCTTTTTGTTCGACTCAGGATTAACTGTTATGGTTTCCGGCTTCCGTACAGGAGATTTGACAATAGTTTGAGGTCTCTGTCTTTTCCTTTTGCTCGACTCGCTAATTGCTTCTGAAGACGACGTGAATTCTCTACTGGAGTAGATTCTCTCAGGCTGCCTGACTATAATCTTCGGTTTCTTAGAGTCCGTTAATACAGACTTGCGTAAAACTAAGGGGGAAGACGTAGCCGACGAGGATTTGAAGGAAGACGCTGTCGATTTTATTGCCAAAATCGAATCTACCGGTCTACCTAAGATTTTCAGTTCCTCAGACATTGGCACCTTTAAAGATTTCTCCTGTAGTTTCTTTTGTTTCCCATTATTCAAAGAACATATCAGGTTCGACTTTTTCTCTATTCCCGACCCGACTCGTGTCGTCGTTCTTTTTATTTCTTTCTTATTTCCTATGGAAGATAATTCAAAAGATGATCTAGCGAGTCTCCTGCAGGACTCCTCCTGTTCCTTCTTCGTCAATCGCCCTTTAGCATTCGTCCTCTTCAGAGAGGACACTGAATGACAAATTCCGTTTCCCGCTTGCAACTTCTCCTTCGATTTTATCAAACTAGGAGCCAGGTACTTCGTACTCGTAGCCTTTACTATCGAAGAAGGTTTAACGTTTGCTTCTCGCTTCGCGGGAGACTTGATCAAACATTCCTCATAGCCTGTCCTCCAGGAAGTCGTGCGAACCGCAGTTCCCTTGTCGCATGCGCCGTAACTTTTGCTCACAGCTGCGTCGCGCGAACTACGCGGCTCCAATTTTTTCTTGCTGGCAACAGACACCGCGGAGGAAACTTTTGGTCGGGGCGAGATTGTGGTCAAAGCTTCGCGGCTCTTCCTGTGCCTGTCCAGATTGCAGCATAACCGTTCCCTAAGCGAGTGGACGTTAGATGCGTCGTCGGCGAAACACTGTTCGTGCCTAGATTTGGACTGTCCGTTCTCCGCGGCTTCGCGTCTCGACGCGTACAGCTTCAGCGTTTTACTGTTCTTGGAAGACTGCCTGCGAGGCGGGGACGGAGGCTTCGCGGTGGAAATCGTTCTGCTGTGCGGACGGTGGTTGAAATTAATGTCTCTGGGGGATTTCGATTTCGCGACTTCCATTTTCTTACTCTGACTGTCGGTCGACGATCGTTTCTGTCGCGATCCGCCGGCGTTTTTCTGCGTCAAAATATGCTTGACTGTCGTCGGCGACTCGTCTGTGGAAAAATGTGCCCGTGATTGAACGGTTGCCGTGTGGTTTAATTGCGTGCCGTTTTCGTAGTAACCCTCTCACCACAAAAATGTTTGAAGAAAAAAGTCTCTGAAGAAGCTGCTTTTGTTTTACGTTCGCTTTATTTAATTTGTTCGGTTTTTAATCCGGCGCAGCGTGAACGTCAGGAAAGTCTTCTTAGGTGATGGTAACTGCTGGTGCATCGTATTACGCGGAGAAAATACCGAGTCGCACACCAATATCGATAGATTGCCGAGAAGAGGCGGTGCGGTTTGTGTAAAAAAAAGAAATAAAAAACTTAAAAAGAGCTACGTAGGAGGAGAGGATGATTGCTTAAAAGAATTAAAAGTAGCTGCTTGGGAGGGCATAATGATGCGTTCAAGCTGGACATCTTCACTCACAACTACGGAAATTAAGTATACGAGTCATGCTTTGTAACTTTTCGCTGCCCGATGCATTATTCAAAGGAGATGAAATTCAGAGCATCGCCGAGTTTAAATTATCTTTTAATGCGGTAATTGCATACTATAATTGACAACGTCCAAATGCTTATATTAAGGATGTATAGGCTATACATATAC